GGCCTGCCTTCATGGTATACACTTATGAAGACAAAATGGTTTCAGTATGTGTTGCTCCTTCTCTCTTAACACTTGTATACAGGGTAAATTACCTTGGCTTTTGAGTACCCCACAGACAGAGTTGAAAGTAAGTTCTACCTGGCCTCCCCCGCTACAGGACATTGCCAATGCCTGGAAGGGTCTGGAGCAGGTAGAGAAGGGTTATGAGGAGTGGTTGCTCACAGAAATCCATCATCTGAAGAGACTGGACCACCTAGCCGAGAAGTTTAAACAGAAGTCTACTGTAGTGAATTTTGCTTTCGCCAACCTAGGGAGGCGAAATAGTGTAGTGATGGGCACTCGCGTCACCAATGACGTTATGAACATCTGTTGTTGTCTCGCTGGACGAAGACTCTGAATGAAGTCTGAATGTAGATTATCTCTTTTCTCGCAGGCTGGAGGCTCAGAATGTGGTCGTATATGTTGCTGCCTCCAAGCTGGAGACTCAGGACTTGGTATCTGTTATTGTCTCTTCCCTCACGGGCCAGAGGTTCAGAACGTTGGTGATCTGTTGCAGTCCTTTCCTTGACAGGACTCAGACTCAGAACGGAGGTTGATCTGCTATTATCTTACCCTTGCAGGCAGGAGACTCAGAAATTGTTGCTCTGTTGCAGTCTCACCTTCACAGGACGGAGACTCAGAACAAGGAGTGTCTTTTGAGAAGGTACTGTTATCTCTTTCCGATGAGGAGGAGATTGCAATTTGGCGCTTCTCCATTTCCAGACTGTGATTGGCTGTTTCCATCAGAGTGGGGGGACATGGTGTGGCCCACCCTTCTTTCCTCCTGTGGAACTTATTTGCATAGTCCAAACACAAAGTTAGAAAAGTGTCACTAATGTTTTACCAGTACATTTCTCACTTTCCAAAACACAACCAGAATACATTTGGCAATGTTACTAACACATTAAGTCCAAACATGATGGGAGAAGACTGAACTGTCATGCATGCATTCATTTGTCCATTAACAGCTGAGTTTGTGTAAGATGTTGCACTACACGTCGCTGTCACTGAAAATACTTATTTCTCTGAATAAGTCTAAGATGGGTGTGTTGTAGTTTGCATCAGTTTAAGGTTTGAAAGCATAGTTATGAATTGGCTGTTTCCATCAGAGCGGGGGACACGGTGTGGCCCACCCTGCTTTCCTCCTGTGGAACTTATTTGCATAGTCCAAACACAAAGTTAGAAAAGTGTCACTAATGTTTTACCAGTACATTTCTCACTTTCCAAAACACAACCAGAATACATTTGGCAATGTTACTAACACATTAAGTCCAAACATGATGGGAGAAGACTGAACTGTCATGCATGCATTCATTTGTCCATTAACAGCTGAGTTTGTGTAAGATGTTGCACTACACGTCGCTGTCACTGAAAATACTTATTTCTCTGAATAAGTCTAAGATGGGTGTGTTGTAGTTTGCATCAGTTTAAGGTTTGAAAGCATAGTTATGAATGGATTTGGATGGATCTCTCTTTGTTTCACCCACTGCTGTGCTGTTGCACCTGGAGGTCCAAAGGAATTTTTATGGCGGTCACGGACCAGAACCTTAGGAACAGGTCTCTGGGTGGGTGAAGGGCAGAAACTGCATTTTGACCAATGAGAAGTCCTGTCCTTTCCGGGCTTTGTACCAAAGGTCTTCTTCTTGCCCTCTAAGAGGTGGGGTTTGTTACGTCACAATATTGGACGTATTTCTGTTTTAAACCACAAAGGCTGATATTAAGCAACGTGCAAACTTTGCGCAAGAGTTATGCACATTTTAACCTCAATTATACAAAGTGAAAGTAAAAATAAGTAAAAACTGACAGCGCTTTCGGCATCTGACGCTGCATTAACGACGCATATTCTCTCACAGATGACAAGAGACAAATCTACTTCAACATATGCTGATAATGGCATAACTGTCTTGAATTATTCCTTAATATTTCTCTTGTGGCCCGTACATAGTGGAAAAAAAAGAGAAATGTATTTTGCGCTAAACAAGTTGCTCCTAATTTTCATTGATGACTGCAGTGTTAATCATTTTAATTGCAGGCCTATAATTCATTGTATAAATTAATAGACTTGTTTTAAAAGACCTTTTTAAAAACATTTTCAATGAGGAGTAAGCTAATAGCCTAATCCTTCATTATCCTCACAGCGTGTCAGTTATGCGGTGATTCGCTATGAAATTATTGTGGGGCAAATTAATTGTAATTTAATAATAAAAGTAACCTGATTAATAATGACAGGCCTAATAATAATAAGAATGTAACAGGCCTAAAAATTGGAAATGCCAAATCCTCTTAATATTGCCAATATTTGATGCTTTTGACAATATCTCTGCCTATAGTCGACACATGATACGATGCAACCCAGCACGGGGGGCCCTCCAACACCTGCGTGCCCGTCCGCTACGCCACTGCTTTGAGTGACCTGGCTGCTTACCAGGACAGAGTGGAGCAAATTGCTGCCATTGTCCAGGAGCTCAAGTAAGACAGATACACCTCAGCTCACTTGCAATATGAAGAGTACTTTCTTATAGAGTTTACAGTAGGTAATTATAATGATTATAAATGTGCTGCTCTTTAGTGAACTGGACTATTATGATACTACTACCATCAATGCCCGATGCATTGGTATCTGTGACCAGTGGGACAACCTGGGAACCCTGACCCAGAAAAGGAGAAAATCACTGGCGGTACATGCATATGATAAAATCTTGGTTGTTATGGTAAAGCTGTCCTCCTCAATTGTCTAAATCAACACTTGAATTGAGAATGCGGTTAAACTAAAGTAGATTCCACTTCCAGAAACATTAAGACTCTTTTGCACATTTTGCCAATGAAGAGTATGGATTAAATATGCCATTTACAGTAAATAAAGGATGTAAGCTTGCTGTAATCTTTGTCTTTCTTTGCCATAGTGTGTGGAGAAGCTTTGGGAGACAATTGACCAATTGTGCCTGGAGTTTGCCAAGCGGACAGCACCCTTCAACAACTGGATGGATGGAGCTATGGAAGATCTTCAGGACAAGTTCATAGTGCACAGTATTAAAGAAAATCAGGTGAAATACAAACACTGAATGTTTGAAGGAGTGCTTATCTTCTTCAATGACATTGTGTACCGGCTTTAGTATCTTATCAGTCTGTTATGGGAGAAGGACGTTGGTGTTGTTCTTCTGTATAGACTCCTTTGTTGTACCATCTTTTATTTGTCTATTATGCACCATGTCACCAACATCATTTTGTTCTTTCCTGCTATTGTCAACCTCAAGAGTTTGATCACAGCCCATGACCAATTCAAGGCCACCTTACCAGAAGCTGATAAGGAACGCATGGCCATCATGGGCATTCATAACGAGATCCTGAAAATAGCTCTGACATACGGGATCAAGGTAGTGGGTGAGAATCCCTGTCCTTTCTCCTCAGGATATTAGCAACAAATGGGAAGCTGTAAGTACTTAACAATCTTTATTTTACCATTTCAGCTTTATCAGCAAGAATAATGGCTCAATGTCCTTTCAGTTTCTTCACTGAGGAATGTTGCTTCCTTCCTAACAAGTGAAGCAACTGGTCCCAATGCGTGACCAGACGTTGCAGGAGGAAGTAGCCAGGCAGCAGTCCAATGAAAGGCTGAGATGCCAATTCGCTGCTTAGGCCAATATCATTGGTCCCTGGATTCAGACCAAGATGGAGTTGTTTCACCATAAACTTCACTCACAGTAGCTACATGTTACAAGATCCTAACTTCTGACAAGGTAATTACAAACTAAAATAACCACTAAAATAACCTATGTATGTTTTTGGACAATCTGTTAAACACGCCTTTTGTTGTCCAAGCACTCATTTTTTTCTATGTTCTGCAGGCGTACATTACAGTGGAAGAGCTGCCCCCAGAACAAGCTGAATACTGTTATCAGCCGCATGACCAAGTACATTGGTGGTTACGCTCCCTTGATTATATCTCTGTGATGCAAATATTTTGTATAATGGGCTCAGGAGTCAAAGGTATTTGCAATGTCACAAAAACAGTGTGCAAAGAATGCTCAGATCAAGAATATGTATCCTTTTGAATGCATCATGTGATTCAAGAATTTAGTTACCCAAAAGTGTATAACAGCAGAACCTAAGTCAGAATCCTACCTGAAGAATATTGGGAATTTCCATGACATCTCCTTCTCCAGTGCCCTGTATTGAGAGCGACTTGTTCTGTCCCTTCCTGACATGTACACCACCCACAACATCCCCTACACCCTTCCTCTAAATTCATGAAACCCTTAATTTTCTAACTACTAGAACAATGTCAGATGTAATGGACAGCTTTGATGCAGTGATTTAGTCCTCTGCACCAGTTGACATCCCGTGACACCCATCAGTTGCTGTCTGATCTTGTTAGTGGTCCATCCCTTATGTTGTGAAGTTGTCTCAAGACAGTAGGGATTGAAAAGTGCAAAACCTCACACATCATTCTTCACAATGGCACTGTTAATAAGAGACATCTGCTCTCATACAAATGGATTACATTTCGAAAGACAAAATATAATTACCCCAAAGAATATATTTTGTGTATTTTGTTAAATCAAATCATATATACCTGAACTTAATGAAAACATCACTATTAAGTGCGTAGAGTGTATTTCATCTGTCTAGAGTGTTAAAGCTAGTCAATAATTTGCCATTACACATATAATCTAACAGTAATGTTTGTAAAAACTAGGACAATTCATGTTAAACCCACAAAATTTCACAAGGCATCAGCAAATCTATTCTGGTCCAGACTAGGGTTTCTGCAATTACCCACAGGTTGAAGGTGAAGCGTTTGCTATATTTTACAATTTTATTAAAAATTGGGTAAAAAACAACAACAACACATAAAACAGACAAATAAAAAGGCATACAAAATGTAAAAGATAAATAGATGCACCTATATATAAAATGAATAAAAAATGTCAATAAAAATAATTGATGTAAAAAACTGATTGCAAATAAAAGGGGGAAAAAATCATTAAACATGTTAAAAGACTTCCCTTAAAAAAAAACACCCAATGGAAATGCAAGTGTTAAAATACAGACATAAACAACATTAAGAGAAAAGTTCGTATCTACATATCTAAATTTCATCTGTACAGTCTGCTGATGTCTGTGCACACAATCTGCGTGCAGTCCATTTTTTGTTCACATGGACAACAGTGCATGTGTGAATGAATGCTTAAATGTAAGTGCCACTAGTGTGCATGCATCGAATGTACAGTATACGTAAATGCTCGTGGTCAATGGAGTATACTTTGAAAGGCTTGCAGGCTCAACTGTGCACGAGATGAAGCCAGGAAAACAAGGAAAAATAAGTATACCCATGCCTCAAACAGTAGTCATTCGAACCATGTTCATGTTGGGGGGATAATGGGATAATTGAAGCATCACCGTGTGGGATCTTCCCTAAAGAATTCTTTTAAGGCCAAAAGAGAAAGCGGCACCCAGAGAGAGTCCCAAAGCCAGGAAGAAGGTCATCAGAGCCCCTGCTGTCTCTGCATCTTTAGGCCTCACCAGCCTAAATAAAGAATAAACAGTTTGTGGGTGTTCTGAGATATATTATGGGGGACAATGGGTTTGTCCTGAAAGACCCCAGCTGATTTTGACAGTAAATAACCTTGATAATATCCTTTGTGTTGTCTTTAAAAGAACTTACTGTGGAGCATAGCTCATGGAGAGGCAAGCAAAATATCCATTCGTCATGGCAAACAAAGACATGATGCTGATATAAGCCATGTCATGATTGAAAAAGACTGGGAGATAGAAGCGAGGCTGAATGTTGCAGAGCATGAGGGCAGGAATGAAAACTACCCGTAATACCACAAAAAGAGGGAATAAATGACTCTTCATCGAAGGCTGGGAGTTTGGGAAAAGAACAAAGATGTACATTAGATCAACAATAATTTCCATAGTTAGGCATTGCATAGTGTTGTTACAGGCTCCGACGAAACTCACCCACTGAAGACGAGAAGTGAGACTTCTGCCAATCCAGTCCATCACATTGAAGACAATGAATGAACACAAAGGTACGAAGATGTTATCTATAAGATGAAAAGTTATATAAATCACAGTGCTTTGACAAGCATAATGCATGAGCTAGACATCTTGTACAGACTCACCTTTCCCGTCAAATAAGCCAGAAGGTTTTGTATTTATAGTAATTGCTGGAAAAACGGACAGTGTGACGGCAAACACGCATGTCACACATAAAGCCATCACCCATATCTATTAAAAATAAATAAAATAGATCAAGCTATGCACCCACTAATTCTTTTAAAATACATCCAGTGAATGTTTCCTAATGGTGCGTATATAAACAGAAAAGACGTTCGCTGTACCTTTTTGAAGACCTGTGGTACAGTTGACTTCTCCTCAGTGGGATCCTGTTTGAGCTCATTCAGCTTTTTACATGCTTCAGTTTCACTGTCGTCAAATCCGTTGTTAAAATTGTTCAATTTCACTTTAACAATCTCTGTAGCAAAAAAAAAAAGAACATCAAAATTCATGATTTAGAAGAACTAACAGTTAGTGGCTTTGCTTGACTTTGTGTAATTTGTCCAAACAATGGAAAAATTTAAGATGTGACATACCAGAACTATTTGCTGATGGCTCTTTCATTGTAGATTTAGTGGACACATTTTCCAAATGAAGTTGAGCAAATCTCTGTAATATAAGGAATTTCATTTTGTACAAAATCAGAAAAAATTAGAATACTGTTGTGCAAATAATGTACTATTTTCATGTATTATAGCAATAAAAAATAAATAAAAAAATTATATGTGTCACAAAAATATGTGTCGACAGTTAAATGACAAGTAAAAAGAAATCTGATGGCCTGTGGCACCTACCAGATGCGGAAGTACGAGGTAACAGCATAAAGTAAGTAGAGTGGCAGCACAGGGGGTTATGAAATATCCCAGGGCAGCACTCTCTGAGTCTGTTTCAACTAAACATTGCATAAAAACACAGCTGTCAGAATAAATGCGTTTCTCTCAGATTGCTAATAAAAAGTAGCAACATTTATTTAGGTAAAAAAAGGTATGGTTGCACAATTAATTTAAACCGCAAAAGGCTGAGACCTTTTATGTACAGCGTGAATGCAAAAGTACTGTTTGGTCACTAAAAAAGCTAAACAGTACACCAAGTAATTAGACATTTTTTTGTTGTCCAACTTGAGTGGAATATTCCAGGTACTTACAGATATTGGATAACAGCATGGCGATACCAGAGAAGATTCCTGCCACTGCCTGTCCACTCATGAACAGCGAGCTGAATCTCGGGGGCAGCTTACCGACCAGACCGAACAGACCACCTTGCAGCACAGCCCCAAACACTGCGCAAAATTGCAAGAAAGATGAGGGGTGTTCGATTTCTCAGATGATTTGCACACTCAAATGTGTTTGAGAATAAGTGGAAAGTGGTTTTATGGTAATACTCTTTTTAAAATAATGTGAACATACTGTTGATGTAATTCACATATAATAAACTTCAATATTATAAGAAACATACTGTTAATAAACCAGATTGTTGCCATTGTAATGGAAAAGAAGTGGTCCTGGTCCATCTTAACTTTCACTAAAATGGCCGTGAGAATGAAGAGAAGTAATATGAAGACCATGCTGCCAGCAATCCGCATCTTCTCTGCAATGCTACATAAGCAAAAGATTAAAAACAAACAAACAAAAAACTTATCATAATATTATAGTATTAAAGGTTAAATAGTTCACTCAAAAATGAATTTTTGCTGAAAATGTACTTAGCCTAAATAAATGTTGGTACTTTTTATTAGCAATCTGTGACAAGATTATTGCTTTTCATCAGCTGTTTGAACTCATTCTGATGGCATCTGTTCACTGCAGAGTATCCATAGGTGAGCAAGTAAAATGCTAAATTTCTTTAATGAAGAAATACTCATCTACTTCTTGGATGGCCTCAGGGTGAGTAAATTTAAATTTTTGGGTGAGCTATTTCATTAACTTCCCATACCTACATACCTATACAACACTATATGACTTGCAGAAGTAAACAAATGTTGCTTGAACCAGATACTCACTGCTGGTATAAAAAGGAGTTGAGAAGTGTGAATAGCAACAAGGGAAGCTGGGCTAACAGCACACTCATGTTACCAAACATGTAAGTGTCAGGCTGTGTAGAATTTGTACCATTTTTCAAACGGTCAGTGAAATACTGCAAACAGAAGGGAATGGAGTATGAGCACATGAGATTTAGAGATAACCTTCAATCAGTACAGGTCTGTCTGTCTTACATTCATTGCAGTTATGAAGAAGTTCCATGGAAGCAGAGTTCCCATTCCCAACAAGAAAAAGATAACAGCCACAAGGCCACTGTCAAGGTTAGAGAAAGATTATAAACGAAATGAATGAAATATCACAAGCACAAAAATGAATGAAAGTTATTATCTTAATTTTTTTTGTTAATTATTTAGTATGATCATCTCAACTGATTTACTGTTATCTCCAGTAAATCCTCTGGCATTAGAACTGCACTCACCTCTTATCTGATGTTCCCTTACAAATCCTCATTTTAAAATGTTCTGGGGAAAAAAAATATATATTTTTGCTGTTAGATAATGAACCAAGTTTTGTGACATCGATACACAGCCATATATCACAGATTTTGTAATACTGTGCATAATGACATCCACAGGAGTTGTCGGTAAAGTAAAAACGTAAAACAAAAACTGTGAATCCTAGCTGTCATATTTAAGTTGAGTGGTTCTCAACGTTTTTGATTCGAAGGCCCCCAACACAATTATTCATATATATAATTTTAACGTCATCCTGTGGCTGAGGTCCCCCATTTGAAATAGACGAGAAATAAACGCGGCAAATGTCTTTTCCGCATGATGTCATATCCCATGCTGTGAGGTGTGTACACGAATAAATACACGTCTCATCGGCCTCAGCAATGAATGATCACAGTATTTAAATTTAATATGTTTAATAATAACTGACAGTATTGCAAATCACTAACTTAAAATACCTTATGGATGTTTTATTTTAAGTTTTACTTAGTTGATAAGAGAATAACTTCCAATAAAATTTCATAATTGTATGCAACCCAAATCACTTACCTTACACTATATGGCGAATCCAAATACGTTATTAAAACTATTACTATTAGCTATAAGGAGAATAGCGATAAGGAAGTTGCTTCAGAAGTTTGAACTGAATGAAACCGGTTTTATATATATATATATATATAATATATGCATTCGTGTGAAAATATGTTATAGCATAATTTAATGCGTAACCTACACATGAATAATCATCATATCTCTTACTTTTCTTTAAGAAACATACTGAAAACATGGTATCCTAAACACGTGAATCAGCCACTACTCAAAGTCTGAAAGCATTTGTCCAAACAAGACCCTCCATCATGCCACTTTTCTTTTTTCAGGGTTTCCTTCCACAATCTGTTGAAGAATTTTCATGAATTTCGAAACAAAATATTTAATAGAGATTACATTCCAGCAATTACCGATGGTATAAATAAATATTGATTCAGTGATTGCACTTAAAAAATGTAGTAAAATTTTAAGACTCAATAATTTTTTATTAATTAAACCTTGTAATTAGACCTTGTAACTTGTATATATTATTATTCTCGATGCGTTCATTTCAGTTCTTTTAAGAATATAATAGTGTATTAAAATATATACTCACAGAGTCGTAGTCACACGCATATATTCAACAACAATATGCAGCAGCAACACAGAGCGCGGGTATTTCAAGTTTCAAAAGCTTCCCGGGTTTCTGCACGCCTCGCCTTCATCAGTTGACAGATACCACGTCATAACACCGCCTATGTGCTTCATATTGGCCTAATGTCTCTGCAGGACAGTAATGGGCGTTACCAGATCGGGACGTTTTGATCATGTTACCTGATTGGCTCCCGTCATAGTCACGGTAGGTTTAGGGGTGGGGTTAGGTAAGGAGGATCATTTTCATTGAATCATTTAGACGCACCCATCAGTTTGAAAACACCTACAATGTCAGAAACGCCCACTTTTGCTCGGCAGAGACCTCAATCTCATGTGTTCTCCAGCGTTAGTATTTATCGTTGTCAGCGTTGAAACAGCTATCATGAAAACAAGACACGTTTTAATAATATTTAATGCCATATACAAAATATTAATCTTATAAATATTAATTAATCGTAAACAGTAGTCAACACTTATATACTTACACATATATATATATATATATATATATATATATATATATATATAAACACACTCACGATGGTGCTCAATTTTATATTGCAAAAAAAATATAAAATATCAAATGTCAATATTTTCTTATGACTAAGTAAACTTAAAAAGTAGCCCACTGTCTGGGGTGTAAAATACTTGAGTGATTTTTCTTGATTACTAGTTAGGCCTAAGTTTTATATTGGAGTATTTGTACTTTATTCAAGTACAATTTAAACTCACTGGCACTTTTACTTGATTACATTTCTGAAGAAAAAAACAGTACTTTTTACTCCTTACAAATTTATTTAAAAAATTTAAATGCACTTGTTACATTTTTATTGTATCTTATGCACATTCAATATGGAAGCTCAAACGTCTTTTTTTTTCATGCATCAAGCACATGCGTTTCAGCTTCAGTTATAACTTTCATCAGGGAAATTTTTGTTTCCAAAGCTTGCCATCAAATCTGAGGAGGCATTGTAACAAACTGCTCAGAGACTTCAGGTTGAGGATCCAAAAGCAGTATTTATTAAAGGGGTCATATGATGTTGCTAAAAAGAATATTATTTGGTGTATTTGGTGTAATGAAATGTTATGACTTATACTGTCTTTTTACACATTGTGTTGCATCGCGCCGTAAACATAAAACCATGTTTTATGTTTTAACATGGGGGAAGTCGTGGCCTAATGGTTAGAGAGTCGGTCTCGTAACCCAAAGGTT